TAAAGGGATTTCCGTATTGTACACATGAGTGGTAGTGTGGCTAGCCTACGGGGCTATTCGCATATCGAATGGTAATAATAAGGGTATTTATACAGCCCATATTTTGTGCCAAACACTTCACAGACTTTAGCCGATCCATTCTCCACAACAGCCTTCTGAGGTAGGTACTGTTAGTATTATCTCCCTGTCACGAATGGAGGATGTTAAGGGCTTGGAGAGATTAAGTGACAGGCCCAAGGCCATGTAGCTGGGAACGAAGCCAGGATTTCGATACAGACAACGCAGCTCCAGAGCTCATGCTCTTACCCACCAAGTTAGGATGGTGATTTTGTCTAGCCAAGCACCTTCTCCTCAAACCGTAAGGTTTAACTTCTTAACCAAGTTAGAAAAGACAGGTCACTAACTTCAAAAAAACAAAAAAAGAAAATACTACTTCAGGGTGGATGGATAACATAAGAGGTAATATTTTGAAAACATGACAATTCTGATCTGCTTTTCGGGGACATCACGATTTTTAATTAAATGTATAATAAGAAAAGCATACCCATGAGGTGATCTTCACGTATGTTTTCCAAAAACTAGTTAAGAAGACACATACTATGTGTATATGAACACAGAGTGAAAGAGAAAGGAGGCATGAGAAACTGCAGGTTTGGATCTCAGAGAGGACAGATGAGAAATGTCAGCAATCTGTGCTGTACTGAAGAGTCCTGGAGGCAGTAGAAAGGGAAGAAAAGAAACCTCTTCCTTCCTCTAAACAACGTTTAGCCTTTTCCTAGAACTTCGAGTTGCCACTCACCTTTTCTTGGTGAGGGAGGAAAGCTAAAAAGGGGAAGGTATTTTCAAGAACACAGGGAGGTGGGCGCCTGGGTGGCTCAGTTGGTTAAGCGACTGCCTTCGGCTCAGGTCATGATCCTGGAGTCCCTGGATCGAGTCCCGCATCGGGTTCCCTGCTCGGCAGGGAGCCTGCTTCTGCCTCTGACCCTCCCCCCTCTCATGTGCTCTCTCTCTCTCATTCTGTCTGTCTCAAGTGAATAAATAAAATCTTTAAAAAAAAAAAAGAACACAGGGAGGCACAGGTGCCTTTGTAATGAAACTGCTACTTGAACAGATAGATCTCTGTCTAGTCTATAAAAATGGACCATCTACCAAACCATTTTATTAAACTATAAGCTCCTTGAGTGCAGGGCCTGTGTGTTTTGCTGTTTTGTATCCTTGGTGCCCAGCATAGTACATGTTATAGAGCAGACATTCATAATTTTTAATAAGTGCTGTGTTAGGCATAAATCTTTCAGTATATCTTTTTTTTCCTTTGAGATAAATTCTAAGAGTAGGAAAACTATGTCTAAGGTGATGAGGATTTTTAAAAAAAGATTTGAGAGAGAGAGCACCCCTGAGAGAGGGAGGCGGGGGTGGGCAGAGGGAGAGAGAATCTCCAGCAGATTCCCTGTTGAGCGCTGAGCACAGAGCCGGGAGTGGGGCTTGATCCCATGACCCTGAGATCACGACCTGAGCCAAAATCAAGAGTCGGACCTCAACCAATTGATCCACCCACGTGCCCCTAAGGTGATGAGCATTTTTAAGGACCTTGATATATCTTACTGTGTTCAACTGTTTCCATATTACATTCCCAATAGAAATAGATACATTTGTACCAACTTTTAAATATGACCACATTGGGAATCATCATTAAACATGAAACTAAACAAAAACAGTTTGATAAGCAAAACAGCTCTCCATTATTTTGATGTGTTTTCTCTGATAGCTGACAAAGCTGAACGGCTTCTTAGTCGGAACCGGTGCTGCCTAGAGAAGGCTTCAGGGAGGCATGACGCTCTCTTGAAAACCCAGGACGGACCCAGTGCCCTTCCAATAGCACCCTTAACGGCACCCGTGTACCCTGATCGCTGCACTTCTCACTTGTACTGCTAATGAGCTCTTTCCGTCCCTTTCTTACTTCCCAAACTGCAATCTCCTACTCCCAGCACCTAGGTTTAGCACACAAAAGATACTCGATGGAAGTTTGTTCAAGTTAACGGATATTACCGAGTGGCTGCAACTTCTTACACTACCACAATTGAGAAACATATAATCAAGCCAATGATTTCTAGTTTAGCACCTTTTCTTGACTTTTAAGAAAACGTCAGTCTAAATCTGTACAGGTTCCAGTCTGGATAAAAAGGCAGAAACTTCAGTAACTTGTCAAGCTATCAGTTTTAAAGAGATTGAAAGTGACTTACGGAACTGAGGAGTCAGTCAGAACTTCAAAACATACCTGGGAGAACAATAACACAAATCCAGATGCACAGTGGCCTATGGGCTGTGTGAGGAATTCCCAAATGGAGGGTGTGTCTGAACTGAGCTCTCGCTCTTTGAGCTTAGCAACTCTCCCCCTCTTGGTTCCCCCCCATCTATGTTCACTGGCTGCCCTCAGCTATTTGCCCTTGCTTTATGCACAGGGAATGTCAAGAATATTCACAAGCCATTAGCAGAGCATAATATACTGGCTGCGGAGCCTGCAAAGATGAAAGGTGGGTGGGCCACACGCACAAAACCGGTCACCCCCCTCTTCCCACCTTCTTGGTTTTCTCTCATGTCACTGCAACCCTGGTCTATAGTCTGTTCCTAAAAGAATTCTGAGGTAAGCAGGAGTGGCTACGTCAAAAAGTTCTATGCATACATTATACAAATCAAGAAAATTTATCCACCTTTATGGAAATAACAAAAAAGGCACTAGCTTATGCTAACATTCTGTATCCCAAGAGGCCTTTCCAATCACCAAAAAGAAAGAGCCCACAGATTAAAAAGTGTCAGTCAAACACAGAAATAAAGACCTAGTGTAGTAAAATGCCATGGTGTCTAGAGATGAAAGCTGCAAAATCTTACTGTTCTTCCTAGCTTCTTAGGTGGTACTATAATTTGGACTCCTAGAAATTCAAACTAAAACTGCAACTACAAAACTGAACAAATCAATTAACACATATCCTTTATCATCTTCCTGACTGAGAGGGTGTGGGCACTTTGCCACAGTAACCACCCCAACCCTCCTGGCTGGCTGTGCACTGAGGATGAGGCACCCAGAGAATGCACCAGGGCCACCACTGGGGTCCATCAAAGCCAGGAGGAGTATGGCAGCTGAACCGCATGTGTCCCAAGCATAAACATGCTTTCCCCAACTATTCTTGCCCCAGCCTCTACATGGTACTTGGTGAAGACACAATATGATGAGGACTCTATCCCTCATGGTGTTGTAGTGTTCATTATTTGAAATAGGATTTTATTATTTATTTATTTATTTATTTATTTATTATTTGACAGAGAGAGAGACAGCGAGAGCAGGAGCACAAGCGGGGGAGTGGGAGAGGGAGAAGCAGGCTTCCCGCCGAGCAGGGAGCCCGATGCGGGGCTCGATCCCAGGACCCTGGGATCACGACCTGAGCCGAAGGCAGACGCTCAACGACTGAGCCACCCAGGCGCCCCTGAAATAGGATTTTAAAACTGACCTGAATGCCTGATCATCATCATCATCCTACAGAAAGTCTTCCTTAGTCTATCAGATGCCTCAGCACCACGATGCTGACGGCTATGGTGGAGGCTGCTAAGTGCTGCCCTGTGCTGAGGGGTTCTAAACATCCCTTTCTGGGAGGCTAAAAATCCAACACTTAAAATGGAAGGTCTCACACTGCCAATCACTGTGAATATGAAAAACCTAGAGGAACAGAGCTTCCTGTCCACAGGTAACAAGGTTGCTAGCACAAAGAAAACTCAGAAACTTCTCCTTTTCCATCTTCTCCAAACTCCTCCCCCCTTCCTTTACTCATTCAATTTCATAATCTGGTGGGTCAGGTTCAATCCTGAGTGCAAAGCAAAACCCCACTTGTAGAAACATCTGTTGCTATCTGTGAGCTGCTTCCCTTTGTCCCTCCAGGTTCTCAGAGGCGACAGGGGTTCCAAATCACCCCTGAAGGACAACTCTACCTGCATACTCTGTGATGGCACCAAACAAAATGTTTTCTCAGGGTACTGAACCATGAGGACACAAGATGGATGAAGAAACTGGGCAGTCACCAACTAGAGTAGCAGAAAGAGACTAAGCAAGGTTCTTAAAGGCAGCTCAGGGCCAGCATGAATGAATAAACCCACAGTATCAAAACATGTAGTCAGGACTACTTTCTCTCCAATTTTACCACTTCTCTGTCAGTGTTTGCAATGAATATTTACTAAGTACCTACCGTGGGCCAGATGCCGGATGAATACCATCATCTTTTTTTTTTTTTTTTGCTGGCAGGGCGTTTCT